AGTACAGTGCACTTAGGAGGGCTCAGATTCCTCACACCACTAGTCGTAGAGGAATGAATCGTCTAGCTTGTGAAATGGTAAGTAACAGTATGTAATTATATTAGATATAATGATAGAACATCTGATAATAAAAAAATATCACTTGTAGAAAAAAAAGAATGCAGACCCTAATAAGATTAACCGGAGCAAGGTTTGGATAGCAGGTCACACTCACGCCGATGGTAGACCTGTTAGACCTGAGTTTGCTGTAACCATTGTATGATTTCAGTATCTGATTATTTAAGTTACTCTTTTTGGTATTGATAAAGACTATAACTTATATTGTATTGTCTCAGGAAAAAAATATTTCACTTGATAGTCAAATGGACTCCACATCCACTGTTAATATAAAAGACGATGTTGTTAGTCAAGTGTTGGGAGTAGAAAAACCTGGACGAGTCAGAGGGTTGGGAAGAGGGATTACTGCTACGAAGCTAACATTTTTGTCAGCTAGAGACTCCAAACTTGCAGACTTGGAAACCGAGCTTAAAGAATTGAGGAATCAGCTACATGACTTAGCTGGAAATAAGGTGAATTTTCTAAAGTCTTTTACTACTTATAATATGTAGAATTTGCTTAAGTGATATAAAATCTTTGATTCATTTTATTTCTTGACAGAAAAAAATGATGATTGTGTTTCTCCATCTGAGTCTAGTTATGAATACAAAAAAGGAACTAGAGTTCAACTACTTGATTGGTGTGAGTCAAAAGATGTTGTTGTAGCTGAAGGAGAATGGTGCTCTTTTGAACCTACATACAAGATTGGTCGCATTCCAATTGGTCCTAATGTGGCAGCGGTTGTTGTTAAGTCGGTATCAAACCTGAAGGCATCTGTCTGGAGGCCAACTACGGATGTGAGTAATCTTCAGGAAGCAGTGGGATGCAAGATTCCATGGCCAATGGATAAACTGATACTAAATAGTGCATCGAACAACCATCCAGTTTCCTCGGATGTGTTAGGAGCAAAGGTAATTCCATTAGCAGATATACTTAGGTTTGTATTTTGAAATTCAACACGATCACTAACCATATGCATTATGAATTTAGCGTACTAGTGAAGATGATATTGAAAGGTGCAAAATCCACGATTGGGTTAATGGCGTTGAGGTAATCGCTGAAGGTTATATGGGTTCCACTGACCCACATGAGCTGGTCAACAATGTTCATTTGGGCCCGAATGCTGTAGTTGTGAGAATTGCTAAGGTGATTGATGGGAAAGCTTTTCTATGGAGGCTAACAACTGACATGACAACAATGAGTGATGCTGTTAATGAAAAGATCGCATGGCCGCTCCATAATGTATCAGTAATTAAAGTTTCTGAAGATCCAGGCGAAACTACTTTCAGAAAGCCTTCATTGGTAAATTTACAATCTTATTCTTTTTTGTATATTATGTTACAACATTTTATTTAGATGTACTTGCTGGGATGTATAAGTTGTGCTTGTAGAGTCCAAGTGGCAGCACTAGTTTTACCAGATCAGGTCCAAGGAAGAAGAGCATTTGTTGGACCATAACAACTCAGGACGAAAAGTCACAGAAGGCAGAGTAAGTTGTACTGATCCATCAACTCTTGTCCAATGAAAGTCAGGTCTGGGTTGAAGTGGCCTTGATTGAAGATGCACCTCTATGGAGACCAAATTCTTTTCTCGAAGACATATCAGATGCTGTGGGCAGCACAGTGGCTTGGCCTAATGATAAAATCATGTATGTTTGAAAACAAAGTGTATGTTTGATTGTAATCTTTTAGTTGTTAAGACATATCTATCGTGTATCCTTGACGTATTATGTTTGGTTGCTAAGACATATCAGCCTTATTTATGATTAGCCTTATTATCGTCTATGCTTCTCAAATTGGGGTTTATTTAGGGATTCAACCCTATTATAACGAATTTAGGGTTTATTTAGGGATTCAACCCTATTGTAACGATTTTAGGGTTTAGGGATTCAACCCTATTATAACGAATTTAGGGTTTATTCAGGGATTCATCCCTATTGTAATGAATTTAGGGTTTATTTAGGGATTCAACCCTATTGTAACGATTTTAGGGTTTAGGGATTCAACTCCACTGTAACGATTTTAGGGTTTATTTAGGGATTCAACCCTATTGTAACTATTTTAGGGTTTTATTAAGGGTTTAAAATTCAACTAAATTTTCGAAATATATATATATTTCGAAAATATGTAAGACAATTAATAATATTCATGATTATTAGCTACTCATCTCATATTTGTATCAAATACTACTCTCAACCATTAGCTTGATTTAAAACAATAGTTTTATTTTAGACATAAACATTTTATACTAATCTCAGACATACAAATAATATTTTTTAAAAATACTAACACTTATAGATATTAAAAGTTTTTCTTAATTATAATTAAGTATAACATTTTAAATGGTGTCTACAAAATTTTCAGCCATTTTCGTGCATTTTTTATGAATAATCCCCTCCCCCACAAAGGATTATAATTGAATAAGTATAATTATTTTATACTCATCTCACTTGACCATTAAGAAGAAAGGGCGCAGATAGATGACGTGGCTTCATACAACCCATTGGATCTTTTTTTTTTTAATCTGAGTTCAATCTCCTTCTGCGATACGAATCTCCATCGAAATTCCGAGTTTCAATCTCCATCGAACGCTATGATATCGTACGATAGCGCTTTTTAGATGCTATTAAAACTCTTATTTCTTGTAGTGCTAATACAGTATTTTTCCATGGGAGACAGCTTAAAAAGAAAAGGTTTAATAGAATTATAATGGTGGATTACTAATAAAAAAGAAAGCTTTAATAGATTATCAGGATATTCTGATTATGTGATTATTAAAGTTTTGTGTTTTCTGTGGAAATCTTGAGCTTGATTGTAAAGATGAAAGAGTAAAGCAAGTAAAACTAAGGATAGATCTGGGCCATCAATGGAAAATTTATAACAGATGATCTAATGATCTGAAATAGATGCAGATATATGTCTTGTCTAAATGTAGATCATTAAATCTCAGCCGCCCAATACTCATCTGAATCCATGGCTACAAATCAATCCCACCATTTTATTTGTTTAGTTAGGTCACATGTAGTTGAGCATAAACTAGAAAGGCTGGACTTTCACATTTAGTTGTGAAAAAGTGTCCAAGTATAAATAAGTGACTTGAGATAATATTAATAAGTGGAAAAGTGACCTCGGCGTAGTAATATCTTATTCTAATGTTGAGAGTTTGATGCACACAGAATATTTGTATGTGCATTTAATGTTTTGTTTGACAGTTGAAACCTGCATATTTATCCTCTAAGAAATTTGGGCAGATACACATAATAAACCAAATGATTGTGGATCATATAATATATAGTCTTAATCGTGTAATATACATTTGTTCACGCTGTTCTGAATTATTGATATAGACTCCAAACTAAACCAAACTAATTAACTAGCCTCAGTTAGTAGTGAAGTTATTTAGCTTTAGATATATATTCAGAGAGGTAAAATAATAGAAAAACGTATGTTTCTTGCATTTGCTAAACACGAGCCTATCATTCCAACGTCTGGAAGGAAAATAGCCCCAACGGCCAACGCTATGGGCTTCCCTCGATCAAGACGAACAGTCGCCACAAAAAGCTCCGATTTTCTAATTAACCACTTGGAGCTGCTACCTCCTCCGTCAGATTTTCACTCTGACAAATCCAACGTCACTCTTAACGCCATGTCACCCTTTTTCCAAAGTCATTTGTTTTTAATAAAGTTTGTATATGTCCCTGACACTGTTCACTTTTTCACCCTTGTACTTTTGTGTTTGGTTTATCACCTGAGAAGTCTGAGTTTCTTTCTTTCTTTAATCTTTTTAGCCTTTTGTATATTTTTACTGTAAGAATTTTCCCGTACAGTTAGTTTGAATTTTTCTTTTTGCAATAACTGAATAATGCTTTAATATAAATCAGAAACGTGATCATTTTATTTTCTGATTAAATCCAAAGTTTCTTATGAACATGACATTATTGTCAGAGTCAAAAAGAGACAACGATCGAGTGGTTCATATTTTTCCATTGGATTCTTCATTATCTCGAATTATTTTTCCCGCTCTGAAAGGGATGATTAATTTTATTCATGTCAGTAACGCGGAATAGTGTCCAAGTACGTACATTCTTACGCAGTGTAGTAATTATTCTATCGTTTAATCTCTTAACATGGCTTCGTAATTAAAGACTAGTATTGTATATTTTCGTATATAGTAAATTTAGGTTTTGCAAGAGGGAATCTTTCCTTCTATCAAAGAGACAAATAAAGTGTGAAACGAATACTGCCACAAGATGAAAAATGGACATGTACTGTATAAGAATTAGGTACAAATTTTCTTTTTTAAAACTGATAAAAGTTCTCAAAATGAAAAGATTCGTATCTCTTTGTAGAATTTATACTGTTCCTTTTTGTTTAGTGAAACTTATCTATTGTGAATTTGTGAATGGGGGGGGGACTGCTGTATAATGCAGTTAATCAATGTAATAACAAATGGAATAAATGTTAAAAATCCAAAATAGTGTTGGTTATTGTCAAAGATCTATAGTTATGATCAAGCAACTTTATTGACCACATTATTACCACATCAGGATAATTGTATAGTCATGACATTATCTAGAAACAGTTATCGTTTTCAAGAAGTATTGTTTAAAGTCTAATCACGGCTATGAAAAGAGCATAAACGTTGCAAAATGCCATATGGAGCCAAATAAATTTAGTAAAGAACGATGTGAAAAACACTCAGATCTGTTGACCAAAAAACAAACTCATATCTTTGACCAAATAAACTATCAATATTGGTTGTTATTAAGTTACTTTCCAGACATTGAAAGTGACTATTCGATTTAATCCTAACAAAATAATTGTACGTCTCGACACATCGACCCTCCAGATTGTGGCATTATATTTTCACCTTTTTCTAATAATGTTCGATGTTTTCAATTTCATCTATACCTCTCTGTATTCATGACTCTGTCTTATCAAATTAATAATAACATATTAGTTATCAAAAGAATCTCTTTCTTACAATGTACCAGTATAGAAACTTGTGGCAACAACCTAGAGTAGAGAATCAAACTGATCTAATACTAAAACAAAAGGAATATAAAAATGCATGAGATCTAAGCTAGGAATCATGCTTATGCCAACAGACAAGCATAGCCACACACCTTCTCATGATGTAAAACCTTCCCTTCTGTTCCTTAGCCAAGCTACTGTACTTTTGAGTAATGGAAGATGACGATGATCCTTTCTCTTTCTTCGAGGAGCTTCTGGAGATGGAGGATGAAGAAGATGGCACTGAGCATTTGGTGGATGAGCTCCGTACGAATACAGGAGCCTTTGTGGAGGAAGCACTCGTCGAGAAGCTTCTAGAGAACTTGGATTTGGAGGAACTAGAAGATGAGCAAGACGCAGCTGATGCATCCTTTTTGGACAGCTTCCACTTCTCGTCCATGTCTGAGAAGAAAGCAAGGAATGTAGAGGGAGAGAGATAGAGCTTCTGACTCAGTTGGAGGCTGGTCTCTTTTTTATATTTTATTTTATTTGATTGTAAGCTTGTGGTGACTGAGCTCAAGGAGAGATGCTTATATTATAGGGAAGAAAATTAGAATGACTCAAATTTATGGTGATATTATTAGAATGATTCATATTTTTTTTTCAAATTATTAGAATGTTTTCGTGGTCAGAATTACCCCTGCCGTATAACAGAGTTGTTAAAAATGTCTATCGTATGACACAACAGATTTGTCTATATTTTGTCTGATTTGTATTAAAAACGATTTCTTAAATATGTCTGTCGGATGACACAACAGATTTGTATCAAACCACAGATTTGTGCGATCGACTTATTTTCGAAAGGCAGACTTGTTGAGTTATGACCGATTTGTATAGAAAATCTATTCTTCCTACGGTAGACTTAAGGCAAATCTATCACAGATTTACAAATGCTGTAGACTTGTTGCATTACAACGTGGCCGACTTGTTATTTTACGTAGTGACAGATTTGTTTAATTATTCTGGGTTTTAGTAAACCAGTAGAAATTAAATTCGGATTTAATCCCGGTTTACTCCAATTAATTCAATTTTGGTTTATTTATAGTGGTTTAAGACCACAATTAGGGTTAATTATTTTTTTAGTAACTGTCGTCATCTCTTTCACCCCTCTTTTCTTCTTTCTCAAGTTGTTCCTTTCATGGTGGTTTGAACACTTTCTTCCATTCTTTCTGTTTACAGAACAATGGATCACATCATTCTATCTGTGGAAAGATGCGACGTAAGAGACAAAGACGACGAGATGGACTTCTGACAGAGGCAATGGTGTCGGAGTGAGAGAGGAACGACGACGAGACTCGATCGAAGAATCCCCCCCTTCGAAATTGTCGTTGTCATGCGAGAAAGAGAGAGAGACCCGAGAAACAGTTTTATTTTTCTCTTTTATGTTGAATCTAATTTATTTTCTCTTTTATGTTGAATCTTATTTATTTTCTCTTTTATGTTTAATGTTTTTTTTTCCTCGTAAACTATTTTTTGGATTGCACACATTAAAAGGGTATTTTAGTCCATTTGCTTGTTACAAAATAGGGTCTAGTATTTAAAATTTTATATGAGTCATTCTAGTCATTTTAAGATCAATTTGGGTCATTCCAAGTAATTCCTCTATATTATATTATATAGTGTAAGTAATTTACAAAATAAACTACATGTAAAAATGGAAATGATGAAGGCAAGAGAATGAACTGAAATATTGAATTAATCTTGGTTGTACGATACCATATTAATACAAAAGATTATTAATATCCGAGTATAAAAGTTTCAAATGATCTAGTTATATAAAACAAAGTTCTTTCTCTAGTGAAAAAAAGTTCTTTCTCTGGTGACGAAGTATTTCCATACTATTTCTTTTTGTCCTTTTTTACCTCGTCATAGTTTTTTTCCATGACAGAAATAATGTTTTTTTTAGATTTTTTAACACTTTCATCTATCTTCTTTTACATCATATAACTTTTTTTTTGAACGTTGGCTTTACATCATATAACTTAAGTATAAAATATCTTGATGACGATCATACATCATACTTTAAACTACAATTAATACCTTATCAATCATTTTTGTTTTCCAGTCTTACTACTTATGAATATTTTTACCAATAGTATGTATTTTTAACAAACTGCAAATGTTTTCCGTGAGCAAGACGTGGGTAATGTCTAAACTACACATTTTTTTTTTCTTCATATTTAAGGACGTTGTTAACACAACTTGGCTGGGATCTCCATATTTATCTAATTTGTTTATGTTGTTGGTCAAAATATACTCCGTAATATAGGGATGAGCTTTTTACCTTTCTACTTGTTTAATTTTAGTAGTTCCTTGATTGCTCAACACTAGGTTTGATTTAAGGGGTCGTGATCATCATTTTTGCTTGTAGGTTCCACATTTCCTAAATAACTTGAAGCGTCAGATATTAATAAGAATCAGTATGGTTGGGAAAAACAAGAAAACAAAGGCATTAACATTTGATGTAATCAGCCGTCACGTGAAGAAAGGACGATAAATTGCATTCATACATATCATGTATGTATGTGTTTATTGTTCTATTATTGAAAGTATATTACGCATATAAGAGTGTGATTGGATAATTTAGAGTAAATGAGAGTAAATTAAAGAAGAGTAAATGAGTGGAAAATATGTGGAGTAAACAAAAAAAAAAGAAAAAGAAATAACAAACAGAAACCAGCGTTAATTTTGTAACTCTGTATAAATCAAGATAGAAAATATAATATGTTTTATTCTGTTCAAACAGTGATTAGAGTAAAAGAAATTAAATTGTTTTCCACCTGATTGGCAAGACAAAAGCTGAAACTGGAGTAAATGTTCTTCCCACTCAAAAATATATCGCTAGTCATGCTTTCCAGTCACACTCTAAAACGGGTGCCATAAGGGATTTTGTAAAGGCAGATGACCATTTCTAAATCTAGTTGGTTTTAGGGTAAAATTTACAGTAATGCAAAATAAATAACTTTGTGGAATCATGCATACGGCTATATATATATATATATATGAGTCTGATGACGAAGAATCAAAAGAGAAAATTCTTGACGACTGATTCAAGTATTACTGCTTGATTAGAACTACTTCTAAATGGTGGTGTTAAATAAATTTTGAAGATTAGACAACTTTTATAGATTTTTACCATAGAAATGTCTAGAACATGTAATTATTTTTCTTTGTTATACTGGTTGATGTTAAAAAAGGGAGATATTGTTTTCAAATTTGTCTACTACCGTCTAAATTATAGGCGGGGTCTTGTCGCTTGAATTATATGATGAATCAGTGGTCTACAATACAATTATAAGAGTAAAAAAACCGAAAACACCTGCTTTTTGTGAAAAGATCATTTGGGAGTGTATGAATAGAAAGAGGCAAACATGGGACGGGAAGAAAAGTGAATCTTACGATTAAAAGGTTTGTAACGGGACCAAGAGTAGACATCTATGGTCTAATAATATTCCACATGTTTCTTTCACTTGTGTTTTCGAAACAGCCTGGGCTTCCCGAAAACAACCCATTCAAACAATGAACCAAACGGCATTATACTAACACTATGCGTACGTACTTTCTACCACTTTCACCTACGTTTGATTAATACAAGATGGAGCTTAGAGAAATCGAAAGCAAACTGAACTATTGCTTATGCTTTCAAGTAACCATGTCCATAGATAATTTGATTAGTCAAATGAAGCTTAAATTACTTTATTTGTCTTGAAGTAAACATTGTTTGAAGATCGGCTAAAACAGTTTTAAGTATCTAATTTTATTAAGTCAGTATCATTTTCTATAACTATTCAAACCATCTTTTGTATGTGGTAGATCATAAACTTATTGGAGTGGAAGATCTATCCCTAGTACTATGCCATTAGCCAGACCTATAGCTAGAGTTTAAATCGTCGCTCCATCATTGAGTAACTGATGCCATATAACAAAACCATTCCATTTATCGATAGGAAAAAAGCGTATATATTAAAGTCCAATACCACAGATAGAAACACAAAGACCGTCTATATACAGAAAGAAAGATGATAGTCAAAGCCTAGCATGACAGAAAACAAACAAAAAAGAAAGGAAAAACATCAAAACCACAAAGGTTAGATCATACAAACACTGATTAGCGATTCCTTATCAAAAAACATCACATAAGCCAAGGCTTCGCATCATATAACGTGCGCAAATATATACATAACCGTACTCAACCCAAACCCCGTTAACAAACAAAACCTCATTCCATCGAGGAACGGGAATACATATATATATATAGATAAGAAACTAAAAGGGTTAGCAAATCTAAGCGCAGCTTTCTTGACGTCTGGAGGCTGAAACCGTCGTAAAGAAGAGGTCAAGATCCGGAGGCTGAAAGTAACCGTTCTTAGGTGGTTCTCTCTTCTTTCCAAAATGCATCGATCTTTTCCTTCTCACCGGCGGCGGACACGGGGGATAAGCTGGTATCCGGCATTCGTCACGTGTAGGCGTCGTGCACCCCACTTGGTAGTTATCATCAACCTCCGCCACCGTCTCACCCTCGTAGCAACTAAACTCTTTCTCCATTTCTTCTTTCTTTCTTTCTTTCTTTCCTTCACTCCCAGTCTTCTGCCAACTACTCTTAATTAAGAGCGTTAATTGCTTCTTTAGTACTCTAGTTTTCTTGGTGCGACCTAGCTTGTTCTGGAAGTTGCTAGTGGTTGTTTTGTATTTGTGGTGTACAAACTGACACGTGGAAAGACCAATAATTCTACGTGGCGAAGCGTAGTTGAATTCAGGTGGAATTGTCGCCACACACGCACCTGACTTGACTTATGTTTAAAATATGGGCCGTTAATAATGTGGCTTCTTCAGGCCCATTTATATTATTTTCGCGGCGGCTTCTTAATTCAATACAGGCTCATTCAAATGGTCGAGTGGGTTCTTTCATCAATTAAAAATCGATTAAATGTAGCTAAACAAAGTCCCTGTATCACCAAACCGAATACTGAACCACACTTTCGAGTTGGTTCGATTGAGACAGGACAAATAAATAACCGGTTAGTAGAGACTAAACCGGTTGAAATGATCCACGGAATAATATATGTTGGAGTCTCGGACGCGTTAGTGTGTCTTGTCGCCCAAGGCACACATAGAGATCACATTTATAAAATTAATCACTCTCTCTCTCTCTCCCTTAACAAAAAATCTGAAGTTTGATTCTGGGCTTTATTGGTTTTCAGATTGGCCACATCATCACTTCCGAAAACACCTCTTCCTTCTTCTCCATTGTAATCACAGAAACAAAAGTTGCTACCTTTCGTCGTTTGTTGAGACAATAATGATATTCTCCAAGCTCGCTCGATCCTCTCGCTTCAAGGTTCGTTTCTTTTTTAATTGTTTCTTTCTTTCAGATGCTTTTGTTAATTTCCTGAATTAAAAATAAAAATAAAAAAATGCTGGTTGAAATTAGGGATTGGTATACGGTCGTGGTGTCAGATCGGCGATTTTAAACGAAGGGAGGCTTCGAGCAGCGCCGTCATCGGCTGTTGAGTCTGGCGCCAATCAATTGGATGGTGGATTAGGGTTTCTGAGGCGCCAATTTTCTTCTTTAGCTGCTCGTAAAGGAGTGGATGCCAATGTTTTCGCTAACCCGAGATTGCGTCGTTTCTTCTCTAGCCAAGCCCCCAAGAAGAAGAGTATATATGCATTATTATTATGTTTGTCGAAAACCGCTTGTTTTCTGGATTCTCATTCAATGGCTTTTTTTTTGTGCAGATTACGAGAATTACTACCCGAAAGATACTAAGAAAGCACCCAAGAATGAGCACAAATCTGAATCCAGAGGTATCCTGAAAAGTGTTTTTTGTTTGAAGGTTATAGTAATTTTGATATCTGTGTTTTGTTTGCAATGCAGATGGTTCAAATAAAAGTGAAAATGAGAATGCTGGGGAATTTAACACCAAGGAACTTCAAAATTTGTTGATTCCTCTGATGGCTATTGCTTTAATCCTTTCTTCTTTCTCCCTTGGTTCTAGAGAACAGCAACAGGTTAGCATTATTTAACTGAACTTTTTTTTTAATTTTTTTATTTAACTGAACTTTGTTTCCCTTGGATCTGTTTATCTATGTAATGTTGTCTCTGGAATGCTGGATTTGGGCGTCATATACTGAAACTGACTTTCCGTATTATCCGTTTCAGATTAGCTTCCAGGAGTTTAAAAACAAGCTACTTGAGGCTGGTCTAGTGGACCACATAGATGTTTCTAATAAATCAGTTGCGAAAGTCTATGTGAGGAGTTCACCAAAAAGCCAAACAACTGATGAAGTTGTTCAAGGTCCTGGTGGTGGAGTTGCTGCTAAAGGACGTGGTGGTCAGTATAAGTACTATTTCAATATTGGTAGTGTTGAATCCTTTGAGGAGAAGTTGGAAGAGGCACAAGAAGCGTTAGGTGTTGATTCTCGTGACTTTGTTCCTGTCACCTACGTCTCTGAAATGATTTGGTACCAGGAACTCTTGAAGTTTGCACCCACTTTGCTTCTATTGGGTACGCTGTTTTATGCGGCAAGACGAATGCAAGGTGGGTTGGGAAGTGTTGGAGGACCTGGTGGGAAGGGTGGCCGTGGAATTTTCAATATAGGGAAAGCTCAGATAACAAGAGCTGATAAAAATTCCAAGAATAAGGTTAGCATTACAATCTTTTTTGTGATGCTAATACAGATCTTTAATCTTGTTTTTTTTTGTGTGCCAGATATACTTTAAAGATGTTGCGGGATGCGAGGAGGCTAAGCAAGAGATTATGGAGTTTGTGCATTTCCTTCAGAACCCAAAGAAGTACGAGGATTTGGGAGCCAAGATCCCTAAGGGTGCGCTTTTAGTTGGCCCACCAGGGACTGGGAAGACCCTTCTAGCAAAAGCCACGGCTGGTGAATCAGCTGTGCCGTTTCTATCCATATCTGGTTCAGATTTCATGGAGATGTTTGTTGGCGTTGGACCTTCCAGAGTGAGAAACTTGTTTCAAGAGGCAAGACAATGTGCACCTAGCATCATATTCATCGACGAGATAGACGCCATTGGCCGTGCAAGAGGACGTGGAGGTTTCTCTGGTGGTGGGAATGATGAGCGTGAAAGCACTCTTAACCAGCTGCTAGTGGAAATGGACGGTTTTGGTACCACCGCGGGAGTTGTCGTGCTTGCTGGGACTAACAGGCCTGATATTCTCGATAAAGCTTTGTTACGACCTGGCAGGTTTGATCGTCAGATAACCATAGACAAACCTGATATTAAAGGCCGTGATCAGATATTCCAGATATACTTGAAGAAGATCAAACTTGATCACGAGCCCTCTTATTACTCACAGAGGCTTGCAGCTCTCACTCCTGGATTTGCTGGAGCTGATATTGCGAATGTCTGTAACGAGGCGGCTCTTATTGCCGCCAGACATGAAAATGGAACAGTTACAATGGCACACTTCGACTCTGCAATTGATCGTGTTATCGGGGGTCTGGAGAAGAAAAACAGGGTATGTGCTTTTTTTACCTTACCAACAAAGCTCAACTGTATATAGGCTGATAATAGCCAACCATGATTCGTGCATTATCGGTTCAGTTGATGCATCTGTAATAGGAATCTAGCATAGATCTCAAGCTTGAAACCCAACAAACTGGTTATAAGTCATTATCAGCCAAAGTTATGTATCTTTTAACTGGAAACATGAATGCTCACAATCTTTTTTTTTTGGTTGTTTCATGAGCACAGGTAATAAGCAAGCTGGAGCGGCGTACAGTTGCATATCATGAATCTGGTCACGCGGTTGCTGGGTGGTTCCTGGAACATGCTGAACCATTGCTAAAGGTGACTATTGTTCCTCGTGGCACAGCAGCGCTCGGGTTTGCCCAGTACGTTCCAAATGAAAACTTGCTCATGACAAAAGAACAACTCTTTGACATGACTTGCATGACTCTTGGCGGCCGGGCAGCTGAACAGGTAAACATTCCTCTCAGCTTCAACTCGTTGTTGTGGAACTGATAGTATTAAAGAGTGAAAGATCATAGATAAGAACAGTTCCCAAGAGTTGCAAAAGTCAGAAGGAACCAAACAAATATGATTAGTATTAGTTGTTTTCTCTTACAGAGACCAAGAATTCTCATTACGTTAAATTCAGGTATTGATAGGGAGAATCTCCACCGGCGCTCAGAACGATCTGGAGAAGGTAACCAAGATGACATATGCGCAAGTGGCGGTGTACGGGTTCAGCGAAAAGATAGGATTGCTTTCATTTCCACAACGAGAAGACGAATTCTCCAAACCATACAGCAACAGAACCGGTGCCATGATAGATGAAGAGGTCCGAGAATGGGTGGCCAAGGCTTACAAGCGAACAGTTGAGCTAATAGAGGAACACAAAGAGCAAGTGGCTCAGATCGCTGAGCTATTGCTAGAGAAGGAGGTTCTGCATCAGGATGATCTTGCTAAAGTTTTAGGTGAGCGCCCGTTTGCGTCTGGTGAGACTACAAATTACGACAGGTTCAAATCTGGATTTGAAGAGACCGATAAGGAGCCTGTAACTGTGAAGCCTGTGGAGGATGATCGAGCCCCACCGCTTGAGCCACAGGTGGTTCCGACATAGACATCCAAATTGTTACTCACATTGTAAATTTTATTTAAGGTAATAACAAAACATGATAATGTATCTTCATGTTTTGGCGATGGTAGTGATACGTTTAATCTTATCTATATACTAGATACAACACCTGATTTGATTTAGTTTCTGTACTAAAAAATCAGTAAACCTCTTATAGCTTTCAACATGTGATACATAAAATGACACATTGCAAAAGCAAAGGAAAACCAAGTAGAAGAAACGAACAAAACATAAATACAAAAGTGTCGGTATTACATGACAGTAACACAAAAGCTAAGAAGGGACCCAACAAGAAGAAGAGAACAGGATACGACCTTTCCAACCTTGCAAGAACCAGTTACTATCTTCATCAAGCACAAAGTCTTTATGGTAACCCCACTTCTTCATCTTTACCCTAAACGACTCCACAAGCTCTGCCTCCACAGGCTTCTGCTTAAACCCAGCTCTCATCATCCTCACTTGCCACTGCTTGTAAGTCTCCGGTCTCTCCACCCTATCCACTCCTTCACACGCAATCACATTCATCACTTCTCTCCCGTAAAACTCCCCTTCGAAGTGTATCCTCTCCGGGTTCTCCTTGGAAAGAGTGGAACCAAACATGTCGAAGAGCGACGAGTAATGAAACAAAGCTTCTTTAAACCGCGTGGTGAAGAACGGAGCGTTGAAAGACCCGTTAACCGTGGAGCTGAGGAACACGTCAGGCTTCATGTCTCTGATCAGTTTCAAGAACCCGTCCCTAGGACAATCCTCTTCCCCTGGAGTCACATCTCGAAGGTTCTTGAGCCTGAGAACAGTATTAACCGCAAGAACTTCGTTTGGTCGGATCTTGAACTCTTCCATACGTATCGTCTCCCAGTTCTTGGACGCAATAGCATTGTATTCAAACGGAACGCCAAACCTTTTGCAATACTCCGTGAGTCTTCTCCCCGTATCCTCTATCCTCTCCGTTGGACGAAACCCGTTTTGAGGAAGCTCTACACCCGTTATCCGTAGCTTCCTTGGACCCGTCTTACTCTTTGATACGTTCTGTATAAACATAGGCCACTGGAAACCGTAGAGGATCCCAAAGTCTATCACATGAAGCACGGAAGCATCTTTAGCAGCGTCAAGAATCATCTTGTTGGAGTAGAAATAGATCAAAGTCATGAAAGGAGACGCGGACAAGAACACATGGTAGGATTTAAGAATCTGAGCAGCTGTTCGTTTCTTGTAGGTGATGGAATCATAGTAACTCTGGATCATAGTCCCCGAGCTTCCTTCGAGACGAGCCTGGAGGGCATTGGCGAAGAAGTGAGCTAGTCTCTGCGACGCGTCGCCGAGAGGTGTACACTGCTTCCTTATCTGTCGAAGCAAATCATCGGCTGTGATCTTGTCCCCCGCTGAAATGGACTGTGCGCATAGAGTGAGAAGCGTGCGGAAGTCTACCGCTTGGCTCTTCTTTTTGGTACGGCCTCCTTCTTTTTTAGGAACCTGCGGCTTGCTTGAAACGCTCTCTCCTTCTTCGATAACTTGTGGATCGGATACGCCATCGAGAAGGAGAACTTTATCAAAGAACTCTGTTAGTTTACCGTCTTCAACAGTCATTGCTGATTGCTTACTGCTTCTTCTAGCTTCCTCTTCTTCTTCTTCTTCTTCACGCTCGTGCTCGTGACGATTCTTCCTCCTAGCTCTCGAAGATACTTTCTCATCTTTCGTATCGTGGTCGTGATTGAAGATCCATTGATCGGTGTTGGGAAGAAACTTGCTAGCTTCCTCAAGGCCTCTCTTGAATTGCATAACTGAATCTGAATCAGTAAAGATACTCTTTACAAGAATCTCACTCGCTGGCTGTCCGAATCCACCACGCAACATGTTTGGTTCACGAAAATCACCAATAGCATCATCATACTCGTTAGAACTAACTGCTGTCTCGATCACGACACTAGAATTGCTGTTATTGCTCCAGTAACTAGCACCACTACTACAGCAGCTGCTAGTAATCGAATTAGGATGAATAATACAAGAAGAGTGAGTTTGTGAGTCGGTGATGACTTGCTGCAACATTTGTTCGGTTTGTCGTAGAGCTAAAGAATCGTAGAACGTAGTCTGCTCCTCCTCGGCGAGAGTCTCTTCCATGAGGAGCTGGTTTACGTATTTCAAGAGGGTGTTCTCGGAATCAATCTCATCAGCTGGTGGAGAGTATTGTTGTTGAAAATCAAAACCTTGATCTTGTTGTCTTGCTGGAAGCCAATGATCCGTACTGAGATCGAAGTCGCTAGAGGAAGGAACACCGAAGCCGAGATTAGGATTCTGGTTTGGTAAGAAACCAACATCGTAATACTCGAAACCGTTGACGATTGCAGAGAAATTCGATTCCATTAGAGAGAACACTAGTTCACTGAACTTTGTTTCAATTCAAGGAAACCACCTACAAGAACACAAAGATTCAGTAACGAATGAGAACAACAACACAGGTTACATCTGAAGAAGATATGGGACAAGTAAGTGGACAAGTAGGATGCGAAAAAGGCGTGTACTTATTTTAGATCAATGCGCAATATTGCTATGCGTGAGAGCAACAGAGAGAAAGAGAGAGGAAGGAGAAAGTTTTCGTGGGATACGCGAGGGGGACAAGACCAGTCTTGTGATTTGTCCGAGAAGTCAAAACTATTATTTGTCGGCTCCTTTTGACCTGTCTTGAGTGTACTCATTGGTGGGCTTGGGCCCATCTCTTTTATTTTATTCTTTTTTGTTTGTTTTAGTAGTAGTGAATGTCATGTTAATTTAATCAACACAAAAGCTTATGTATTCTTACCTTTTATGACAAGTGGTTGAAATATTTATTGTTGTGGCATTAATTAAGTAGTGGCCACGATTCCAACATTATATGTATGGTAGGGGTGGGCACGAAGCAAATATCCGGGTATTCGAAGGTATTCGTGATCCGATCCGTTTCATCCGAATAATCAATTATCTGATTCGATTCGATCCGTAACCATCCGGATATTCACTATTCCGGATTTCCGGAAAATTTTAAATTTTTACCGGATATCCGATTCGATCCGTAAAATAATAATAAAAAAAATTAAAATAAAGAAAAAATTCAAAATAATATAAAATAATTAATATTTTATTACAAAATACAATTTATTTAATTTTGAAAATTCTAAAAACTAATATAATAAATTTAGTAAATAAAAATCTTGTAAAAATAAATAAAATATAATATTTATATAACTTCTATATATACTTTAAAAATATATATATGTATATATATGTATATAACGGATCGAATCGGATATTCGTTCCTAAAAATTTTAGTATTTGTGATTTGCTTCGTTTCTTACGGATATCACATTTTAATATTTGCTTTGATTCGTAGAGTTACGGATATCCGGATTTTTCGGTTCGAATCGAAACGGATAACGAATCGAATCAAAATTTACGGATATTTTGCCCAGCCCTAATGTATGGAACTTAGCTAAGTAAACTAATTCATAATGAGTAAATAACATTTCTGATTGAACTTTATGTAGGGGTTGAAATAGTTTGTGAAGGTAGGTTCTGACTTTGACCATGTTAGAAATTCTTATAGTATATGAGATATGAATCCTATATCTAATGTATCAAATTAGATTAAAATCTGGATGATAGTGACATTAATACAAATCACAAGCTTTGGTCGCTTTCAGTTTTTTTTTTTTTTTTTTTTTTTTTTTTTTTTTTGACAACAGGTCGCTTTCAGTTTATCTGACAACATTAAAAAATATTTATCTGTCTGTACTACTTATCAACTCCCGTTTTATTCTCATTTTAAGGTAAAGTCAAAACGTATCTTACAAATAAAATAAAAAATATTTATTAAATTGATTCCAACACTTTCATGTGATGTGTAAAACTTAGGGAGCAAGATTAATAGAGATTCCTGATAGGTGGAGTTGATTATTTGACCAGCACAAATTTATTAGAAATGTTGCTGATAAGTACATATTAACAAAACAAACGGCCCAAAAAGATTAAACATAAAGTGACGAGTTAATTATTGTACTATAGTAGAATAAAGCACAAACGTGAGAGGAACCCCATCCCGATCTGATCTCACAATCTCATTCTGACATATTCGTTGTAACATTGTGAGATACCATTTAATATTTGTACTATGATAAAACTCGAAATCGAGTGGGTGTCACGTTTGATTACTATGATTCGTTTCTGTGTCTATTTAAATAAAAAATTTCTATAACTTTAGCTTTAAAACTAATTAAATTATGATTGGTGATTTATATAGTTATAAATAGTTTATAAAACTAAATTCACTAGTTAAAGTCCAACCAATCATCTTCTATATCTCTTTGTCTGGAAATATACATTTAACTACAATTTTCATAGTCTTTAACCACTTTTTGAGATTAATCCATGATAATGCACAACATCTTGTAAGATTACTTGCAAAAATGTGCTTGTGCCTGATGCAATAGCAGTTCGTAAACAACACATTGTTGACTTCTAATTATTGATGCAACAACATAAGCTTCCGTGAGAGCAGGGTCAACCCAAAAAATTATGGGGTTATAGGTAATTTTTTAAAGATTTTAACTATTTTTCTTTTTTTCAATTTGGAGGTCGAAAAATATGTTTTTGAAAGATTTATATATAGAAAATTTTTTTTCAAAATTTCCGGAAATCTAACATGAATGTTTCAAGAGACTTGACTCATGATCATACTTTCTTTTGCTATACTTTTACACACGCAACATTTCCTAATTTCATCCTAATAATATTTTAATTTGTGTGATCCGGTAACTATGAGCGATTAGGGTTCTCTCTTTCTGCCGCCGCCACCGTTGGTTGGACCTCACGTCCACCGACGAGAACATCTTCTTTCTTCCTCCTCTTCCTTTCTTCTTCATGATGGTGGTGTTTGCTCAGTTAACATCTTCATCGAGCTCGGATTCGGATCCAGACCCAGATCCACCGCCGCTCATTGCTCTTGCAGTTCCCTTTGCGGTGGTGTTACCTCCGGATCCTCCTGCCCGCCAGATCCATTCTCTTTACTCTTACGTCCTCCATCCCTAGTAGATACAGCTCCCCCTCCAAAACTCATTTCTGGCTCATCTGACTCAGTTATCGTGTCTTTTGGATTCTTGTGTTGCTGGTTTTTCCATGAGTTTCTTGTGTTGCTAGGTTTCTCAACCTCTTACGCCGTTGCTAGCTGCAAAAGAGGGTGTCAGTGCTGTCTCTTTATACTCTGGCTCTTGTGTAGCCCTTGCCCACCTCTCATGATCTCACTAGTCCCAGATCTGACTTGTATGACCTGTACTTCATCTCCTATAGATGAATTTTGTCAGAACTCAGATTTGAAGACGCTCGCGCTACCTTTCTCGTCTCTTAGAACGATGACCGTTCTCCCTTCGGGGAAGATTGACCACAACGACCAACGGCTTAGTTTTGACTCTGGCAAACCTCTATGGTTCTATCACGGTAGTGCTGGAATCGACAGGTCTTGTTGGGAATTAAAGCTTGCTCCTTCAAAAATTGGAGTAAAGCCCATCTTATTGTTTGCTGCCGTGGAGGAGTCAAGGTCGTTAATGTCCGTTTCATTTCAAGGGATGACTCTTCTCACTCCTCTCGCCACTACTATCCACGCCCAGCAGGTCTTATACATGTTGAATTCACTGCTCTCATGCTCTCAATTGTCTAACTATGTTATAGATTTGGAGGTGGAAGTTCCATCAAGTGAAGTTTATGTACTGGGCAAAGTTGGATTATCTCATATTGTTAATGCAGTCGATGGTGTTTGTTCACCGATGTCAAGCAAATTCCATCATCAATCGGTATCTCCAAGAAGTACAAATATACATGTTCGTCACATTCAAAGTTTGGCTCAAAATCATTTGTTGCTTGAAGATTGCAGTCCCGTAGCTTTATTAAAAAAGGCTAACCAAACCTCCTCATGTCAGGGCCATGAGAGATCGTTTTCCCCCTTCCTTCTCTTTGCAGGAGTGAACCTTTCCACCAAAACTCCTCTACATGAGAGGTACTCTTCTCTTGGCTCCAAAGCCAATGAATATCATTGCTTTCCTAACCGCTTGTTATCTTGTGTAATGGTTCGTTTGGGACCGGAAGATACAACGAGACTCAATCCAATGAGACTCGAGGTCCTGGTGCATTCAACGTCACGATATACTGTGACTATCGTTTATGAATCCGGTTTTACCGTGAATCTCCTTTCGACGCATTTGAGAGGTGTCTCATTTTCGCTGTCAATCTCTTCGGAGAATTTATCTGCTTTAACTTCTGTTGTGTTAAGTTTCAGTGTTGTAATCAAAGAGGATGGTTAATTCCCTCTAACTCTTGTATGTTTAAAGTTTAAGATAATGAAATGAAAGGTTGCACAAAAAAAAAAAAAAAAAAACTTTTACACACGCTACGTCACAAGCGTATAACCATTTTCTAGTGTCCAAGAGCCACCAACTCTCAACCTAATCCACTCGTGATGGCTAGAGACTAACCACATGAACATATCTATCCAAAAAGATTACTCAATGGTGTCGACTTTTCATAAAGATGTGAAGTAATGAAACTGACATCTCCAGTTATTTGTCTCCATTGAACGATGAGATCCTAAAGAATCTTCCCGCATATTCTTGTTTTTGGTCCATTTCTTATCAACTCTAGTCTCTTTTTATTAATGTCAAGGAATCGTGTCTACAGTCCCCATGTGTGTATGAGGGAGTCACTTGATCTCCTTTTTCACATTCACCATTCTCATTGACGCTTGCTTGTATCATTATTAATTATAATGAGTGAATAATGATCTCCAAATGACCCCTCTTCACATTCATCATTTCTCAATGATGCTTGCTCGTAACCATTTCATCTCGACCACCTTTTTGGGGTTAAGAACATTACATTGATTTTAACCCATCTATTAGCGCGATAGTTATACTATTACCACTATTACCAAGTTTGAACCTACATGGCTACATGTCTATGTCTCTATCTATCTACTAATAATAACAATCTTCGTTAACTCTAAATGTTGTGAATCTCTATTAAATTGAAAGATTGTGTTTTCATTTTTAATTTTGAAATAATGTGTCTGTTCAAAAATTAATTTATTTGAAAGAATGTATTTATTTTTAAAAATTTAATATTTTAGTTTTTTTTTTGACATCAGATTAGATCCAACAGTCAGATTTATTTGGTTTTTATGATCCAACTGTTACAAAATTCTTTTGTTATAAACTGCCATGCTTTGCATCTTTTCCATTGTTCTTCCATCTCTTCTCAATTCACCTTTCCACCCAGAATCTCAAAATTAATTTATTATTTTGGCTCTCTGTCCCCAATCTAAAGAAATCGCTCTCTATCCCTAA